AGCAAGCATGAAGCCTGCTCAGATCACCACAGCAGTTATGAGCACTGTAAACACCTCACACATTATTATACAGTATCTGCAAAAGCAGGCGAGGAGGCGATGGCAGCGCGGTGACGAGAGTGATGAGGACATGGACACAGACTTCTCTCAAACCACGGGCCCTGGCAACTTGGACATCCTGGCGGTAAAGGGGCAGACTCATGCTCTGGAATGCCGATTCTGGGCCCGGGAAACAAGCACAGACTGGTGGGACCGCATAGTGTTGCGGGTCTGGGACGGTTCCCAGTGGCTGCAAAACTTTCGCATGCATAAGGGCACTTTCATGGAACTTTGTGACTTGCTTTCCCCTGCCCTGAAGCGCCAGAATACCAAGATGAGAGCGGCCCTCACAGTTCACAAGTGAGCAGCGATAGCCCTTTGGAAGCTTGCAACTCCAGACAGCTACCGGTCAGTCGAGAATCAATTTGAAGTGGGCAAATCTACTGTGGGGGCTGCTGTGATCCAAGTAGCCAACGCAGTCACTGAGCTGCTGCTATCAAGGGTAGTGACTCTGGGAAATATGCAGGTCATAATGGATGGCTTTGCTGCAATGGGATTCCCTAACTGCGGTGGGGTGATAGACGGAACACATATCCCTATCTTGGGACCGGACCACCAAGGCAACCAGTACATAAACCGCAAGGGGTACTTTTCAATGGTGCTGCAAGCACTGGTGGATCACAAGGGACCAACATCAACGTGGGATGGCCGGGAAAGGTTCATGACGCTCGCATCTTCAGGAACTCTGGTCTGTTTCAAAAGCTGCAGGAAGGGACTTACTTCCCAGACCAGAAAATAACCGTTGGGGATGTTGAAATGCCTATAGTTATCCTTGGGGACCCAGCCTACCTCTTAATGCCATGGCTCATGAAGCCATACACAGGCAGCCTGGACAGTAGTCAGGAGCTGTTCAACTATAGGCTGAGCAAGTGCAGAATGGTGATAGAATGTGCATTTGGATGTTTAAAAGTGCGCTGGCGCAGTTTACTGACTCGTTCAGACCTCAGCGAAACCAATGTTCCCATTGTTATTACTGCTTGCTGTGTGCTCCATGATATCTGTGAGACTAAGGGGGAAGACATTTACGGCAGGGTGGGAAATTGAGGCAAATTGCCTGTCCGCTGATTACACACAGCCAGACAGCAGGGCGCGGTGCGCATCAGAGAAGCTTTGAAAACCAGTTTCATGGCTGACCAGGCTACAGTGTGACATTTCTGTTTGTTTCTCCTTGATGAAAACCCGCCCCCTTGGTTCACTCTACTTCCCTGTTAGCCAACCGCCCTCCCCTCCCCTCCCCCCTTCAATCACCGCTTGCAGAGGCAATAAAGTCATTGTCGTTTCAAATTCATGCATTCTTTATTAATTCGTCACACAAATAGGGGGATAACTGCCAAGGTACCCGGGGGGGTGGGGAAGGAGGGAAGCACAGGGTGGGGTGGTGGATGAGGGGAGAAGGGAAGGACAAGGCCACACTGCACTTCAAAACTTATTGAATGCCAGCCTTCTGTTGCTTGGGCAGTCCTCTGGGGTGGAGTAGTTGGGTGCCCGGAGGGCCCCCCCAACCCACCGCGTTCTTTGGCGTCTGGGTGAGGAGGCTAGGGAACTTGGGGAGGAGGGCGGTTGGTTACACAGGGGCTGCAGTGGCAGTCTGTGCTCCTGCTGCCTTTCCTGCAGCTAAACCATACGCTGGAGCATATCAGTTTGATCCTCCAGTGGCCTCAGCATTGCATCCTGCCTCTGTCATCATGCTGCTGCCACCTCGCCTGTTGCTCCAGCCATCTGTCCTCACATTCATTTTGTGCTTTCCTGGACTCTGCCATTGTCTGCCTCCACGCATTCTGCTGGGCTCTGTCAGTTTGGGTGGACTGCATGAGCTCAGAGAACATTTCATTGCGAGTGCGTTTTTTTCACCTTCTTATCTGCACTAGCCTCTGGGACGGAGATGCTAATCGCAGTGTTGAAACACTTGCAGCTGTGGGAGGAAAAAAAGGGAGGTTAAAACTGAAAAAGACACATTGGCCATTTGAAAGGAGGGGCTGATGTTTTCGGGTTAACGTGCAGCACAAACCCAACTAACCCCCCCCCCCCCACACACACACACCCCAATTATCTGGGATGATTGCTTCACCCCTCCCCCAACCACATGGCTAACAGCGGGGATGGTTTCTTTTCAGATACAGGCAAACAGCCTAGCAGGAATGGCCACCTCTGATGTCCCCTTAATAAAATTCCTCTATTTCAACCAGGTGACCATGAATGATATTACTCTCCTGAGGATAACACAGAGAAGTAAAGTCTCTGAATGCCAGCAAACACCGGGACCACACGCTGCCATGCTTTCTTATGCAATGGATTCCAGACTATGTGCTACTGGCCTGCCGTGGTAAAGTGTCCTACCATGGAGGACACAATAAGGCTGCCCTCCCCAGAAACCTTTTGCAAAGGCTTTGGGAGTACTCCAAGACAGCTTCACTAAGATGTCCCTGGAGGATTTCTGCCCCATCCCCGGACACATTAACAGATTTTTCCAGTAGCTGTACTGGCCACGAATGCATCCGAAGTCTTCAGGGCAAATTAATCATTAAACACGCTTGCTTTTAAACTGTGTATTATATTTACAAAGGTACACTCACCAGAGGTGCCTTCTCCGCCTTCAAGGTCCGGGAGCCCGGGTTGGGAGGGTATTGGCTCCAGGGTGATAAACAGTCCCTGGCTGTCAGGGAGAACGGTTTCTCCACTGGCCTGGTGTGCGCTATCATCTTCCTCATCCCCAAAATCCTCATCCCTGTTGCGTGAGACTCCCCCCTTGCAGGAGTCCACGGACAGGGTGGGGCAGTGGTAGGGGCACCTCCTAGAATGGCACGCAGCTCATCATAGAAGCGGCATGTTTGGGGCTCTGACCCTGAGTGGGCATTTGCCTCTCTGTTTTTTTGGTAGGCTTGCCTGAGCTCCTTAATTTTCACACGGCACTGCTGTGGGTCCCTGTTATAGCCTCTGTCCTTCGTGCCCTTGGAGATTTTTTCAAATATTTTGGCATTTCGTCTTTTGGAACGGAGTTCTGATACAACGGATTCGTCTCCCCATACAGCGATCAGAACGAGTACCTCCCATTCGGTACTGTCGAATTGCGTCCACACTAACCCAAATTCGACTCGGCAATGTTGATTTCAGCGCTAATCCCCTCATCATGGAGGAGTACAGAAATCGATTTTAAGAGCCCATTAAGTTGACAAAAATGGCTTCGTTGTGTGGACAAGTGCAGGGTTAAATCGATCTAACGCTGTTAAATTCAATCTAAACTCGTAGCATAGACCAGGGCTCAGATTCCCATAGTCTCCCAGAGCACCTGCCTTCCCAACCAAAAGCCCTAACCCCAGTCCTGCTACTAAATACCAACAGCTTTCAAATGCAGCAAGATAGAGCCTGAGGTAAGGTCATAGTTACCAGTCATGGAGTTGTTCCCATGATGACCAGCCCGTTAGAGATTCACTGAGTGACAGAAGCTACTTATGTTTGCAAAATACGTATCTTCTGAAATCAGGCCAATTTGCCTGTCACAGGCTGAGCAGAGTGCGCCTAGCAAAGCAGCATACACCAACGCCAGCGTGAACACCTTGCGATCCTCTCGCATTCAATTCCCTGGAAAGAGGAGCTCCGGTCACCCTTCCTAAGAACAGGGAGGCAGCTCAAAGTTGAAAGCCAGAAAAACCTAAAACGGATCCTAACAAATATTTCTCTACACAGCACAGTATTGACCTCTGGAACCACAAGATATCACATAGTTCAAGAACTTATTAGGAGACCTAAACAAAAAGAATGAGAGGTTTATATGGATGAGGGCTATAAATCCTCCTGCTCCATGCATCAGCCAACCACTGAGTAACAGGGGTTAGGTAAAAACATCCCTTGTGGGCAGGTTATTCCATAACTGAAGGCTCTTTGCACCTTTCCCTGAAGCAACTAGTACTGGCCATGTCAGAGTCAGGATACCAGGCTAGACAGGTCCCTGTTCTGATTTGGCCAGGCAATGCCGGTGTTCCTAAGAGACTTTTCAGTCTGGGGTCCCTCAGTGCAAAGCAGAACCAGCACTAAGGGAATTTTCAAATTTGATCTCTGAAATGATTTCAAAATCCATGGCAGTTGCTCGTTAGCTGCATAAGTCACCCAAGCAGGAACAATACTATGTGACTTCTATTGCTAACCAATAAAGAACCTGATTTCACAAACTCAGTGGGCAAACAACCCATAGGGAGAGAATAATTCGGAGGAGGAATTTGGGAACAATTTTGAAACATGAATGAGCCCAGGAACTTCATGCTAGGGGTACTTTGGCCACACCCAAATAATCAGCATTCCCCACTGGAGAACCCCACACACTAGTCTCCCTCCTGAACCACCCCTTGCCTCATAGCCCAACTAGATATATCTCCCACCCCGCAGGCATCCTAGGACAATCCAAAGCACACACAAACTCTGAGGCCCTGTGATTTTTTGGGCAATTTACAGGCTACCCCTTTTATTTTCACCAACACCCCACCATCCCTATCCCCTTCCCCACCAATAGTTCTGGGACCCAAAGATCCTAAAGCCAGCTCCGATACCACTCTGGAGTGGAAGGGTAATAACTGTACCCTATCGCTGAGATCTCAGGCTGCGTGCCACCCTGATACCAGCCAGATGTATCCTTAATAAGGCAATAAATGCTGTTATCAACTGGGAAGCAATTAGTTGGTGGGTCTGAGGCCAGTGTCTGGCTCCTACCCAGTGCAGAGATCTTAGCCAGTTTCACTTCATAGCCATAAAAAACCCCAGCTCCCCTGGTTAAAGTCCAATTCACAGAGAAAGAGGAAATTTGCTTTAAAAATCCTAAAGGGTACTAAGCAGCAGGAGACTGAGACCAGGCCCCCAGCCTCCCTCTTGCTAGATTATTAATCCAAAAATTAAAACAGACACGTGGTTACCAGCTTCCTGCCCAACACGATGCCTCCAATGATACCGGCAGAGCATGCGCTGTAAATCATCCACTGCGCTGTGCCCAGCTACGTGACCCACTGGAAATGCAGGAGACAGGCTCATGGAGGTCTCAAGTTTGGGAATCTCAGCTCAATCTCTTGCCCTGGAGGCAAGCAAGCTTTGTCACTGAGAGCAGAGAGAGATGTAGACACCCACCACTCACATCCACCCAAATAAACCTCCGCAGCAAAGCGTCCCACAGAGGAGGTCCATCATGTCCTGTATCCTGGCACCTGAGGCTCCAAGAGGAAGGCGAAAGAAAAGCCCCATGTCGTCCCAGGCCAATTGTGCACTGCTGCACAGGAGGGACACAGTTCCTTCCTGACCCTGCAAAGCATGGCATTCAATCATCCCTATCTTAAATCTCAACCTCTGCTGCTCACCCCCAAAGCATGGTACGCTGCAGACTGGAGAGAAAGCTGTTTACCTTGCTATCCCTTTCAGCAGCACTCAGGATAGAAGGAACACCATATTACTCCCCAGCAGAAGGAAGTGGATTCATTCCACAGGTCTATCGGTCTTTCTGCACCATTTGGTCTTTGGCATCTTCCTTGTGGGTATTTCTAGCTCCGTGGACCGCAGGATCCTGGGAGGTAGTATACAGCCAGCCCATGTCACTTACAATGTTACTCAAGTCAAGCACCATTTGAATCACTGGAGGGTACCGGGGAGCTGAGATGCCGAGGCGCATGCTCAGACAGATGCACAGAGCAGCAAAGCAGGCAGGATGGGGGTGAGAAGAGAACTGCGGGTAGGGGATGGAATCAAGAGGAGGCGCAGTTCGCTGAGGGTTGTTGTGGGGGCATGATCCCTGCTAAACGGCTCAGAAAGGGGCTGGCTGCTCCTTTTATTAAAGGAGGGGTTCACCACCCCTCCTTGTGAAGCAGATGGAGCACAGCACGCCCTGCCTGGGGAACAGGCCCTCCTGGGGGGCTGGCTCCAGTCAGAAACCCCAAAACAAGAACGGTGGTTAAGGAAACAAGGGGAGGGTAGAGGATGAGATGAGGCTACCGCCTCTGGGGAAGGGACAGAAGGGGGGTGTGTGGCACCGTCTGTACCCTCAGCAGAAGCTCTCTCCAGGAGCTCGGCATAGGGCTGATGTGCTAAGGCCGGACTGCCACACAGCGCTCCCTCCCTCCCTCCCCCGGCACAGGCTCTGGGCTCTTGTCCGCTGCCCCAGGAGAGCGCTACTGCCTGAGCCAGGCAGGTTCAGGGCTCCGGAGCGACCCAGCGCCGGGCTGGGGGCAGGCACGGCCGGCCGGAGGAATGAGAGCCTAGCTCTGGGCGGAGCAGCAGCTGGCCAGCCAGGCTGAGCGCAGGGCTTTAGCCTGTGGGCACCTCCTCGGCAGAGCTCAGCGTGTCATGAAAGGGGTGCCAGGGCTTTTTACAGTCACAACTGAGTGCCGGGGGTCGCCGTGTCCGTCCGTAGCCACAGAAACTACGAGGAGTCCGGTGGCACCTTAAAGGCGAACAGATTTGTACCCACTTCCTCAGATGCCTGGCGGGAAGAAAGGGCTTTTTACCCACCACAGCTTCTGCCCAAATCAATCTGTTCCTCTTTGCCCTGCCACCGGACTCCCCGCTCTTTTGATTCACCACTGAGGCAGCGAGTGCGGGGCGCGGGGGCTCCCCAGCACCGGCCCCTCCCGGGAGGCTCGGCCGGGGGCAGGGCCCATCCCGCCTGCAGCCGGGGCGCCCACCTGCAGCTCCTCGAAGGCGTCGTCCACGTTGGTGACCTGGTGCTGCTCGTGCACGGCGGGCTCGTCGCAGAAGAAGCAGACCACGGCGCGGTCCGTGAGGCAGAAGAGTTTCACCTTCTCGTGGTCCTTGCAGGGCGCGGAGCGGCGCCGCGCGCTCAGGATGGCGTCCAGCGGGAAGGCCGCGTAGCGCTCCACGATGTTGGCGAGCTTGAGGCTCGGCGCCAGCGCGGGCTCGGCGAAGGTGCGGCGGCACTCGGGGCAGTCGCGGGCGCCCTGGTGCTCCTGCCGGACCCAGTGCTCCGTGATGCATCTCCGGCAGAAGTGGTGCTCGCAGCCGAAGCTCACCGGGTCCTGGTAGATGCTCAGGCAGATGGAGCAGAGCAGCTCGTCTTTCAGGCTGCAGGCCATGGCGGGCGCCGCCTCCCCCAGCGGCGATGGCCCGCGGGGCCCGAAAGCGGCTCTGCCCCCGCCGCTGGCTCCCGGCGGCTTCAGCCGCCCGCCCCCCGGGCAGCCCGGCCCCGGCCCCGGCCCCGGCTCCGGGCGAGGCGCCTCCCTGCGCAGCGCGCACACGCCCGGCCTTTGTGCCCCTGCCTCCGCGGAGCCGCCGGCCGCCGGCACTGCGCGTCCACACCCCCTCGGCGAGCTGCCCCGCGGCCGGCCCGGGCTGGGGACGCTGCCGGGGGGGCTCGGGCCCGCCTTGTCCCGCGGCTCCCGCTCCGGAAGCGGCGGCAGAGCGGCGCCGGCAGCCGCGAGCACGGAACGAGCCGCGCCCGGCTCGCTGGGCGCTCGGGTCGCGTCTGGCCTCCCCGCCCCTCCCGGCGCAGCTGCCAGGACAAAGGGAGCCCGCGGGGCCCCGCGCCTGCTCCCCGCGCCGCGTCAGGGGCGGCCGGGGAATTTCCTCCCGGTTCTGCGCACTGGCGGGGCGGGGGCTAGAGGCGCAGGGATCCCGGCAGCCGGGGCGGGCTGGGGGCGCTCCGCCCGCCGGCGTGGAGCCCCGCGCGGCGCGCTCCTGCCCGCGGTCCGCGGAGCCCGCAGCAGCCCGCACGCCCCGCTGCGGGGTTGCATGGGACCCGGCCGCAGCCCACGGCTGGCTGGCTCTGGGCGGGGGCTCGGGCGGGAGGAGCAGGTTGCGCCCAGCCGGGCTCAGTGTCCCCTACATGGGCCGCGCCCTCCCCCATCTCGGCCCAACCCGCACGCGTCCGGGCTCACTACGAGAGCTGGCGGGGGAAATTCCAGGAGGAAAATGTTTGGTTGGAATTTGCTGATTTGGCGAAGTCGTGGGACTGGCTCCATTTCGCCCAAACTCCCGCAGAAATCAGGCGGGTTTCCCTGCAGCCGGGGCTCTGTCCCCCCGGAGACTTTAGAACTTCGGGGCTTGGCTTCAAATCGGACCCAAACCATATTCTGACACTGGAACCCCCTGAAAGGGAAGGACGGGGTCCAGCTCTAGTCAGGGGCTTCCCCTGGCCTGAGACCCTGCCACCATCTGTGGCTTAGCGGGCGCATCCGCCCTGCTGCCAACCCTAAAAGGTCAAAAATCATGACTCAGATCCCCCAAAATCATCAGATGGTTTTAATAAGATGATTCTGTTTTTTTCCCCACACTCCCCAACCCCCCATTGCATAGGGTGGAGGCAGTTACGGCTCTGCCAGCCCCCCCCCCCCCCCGCACAGTGCTGGGGCAGTTACGGCTCTGCCAGCCCCCCTCCCCCCCCCCGCACAGTGCTGGGGCAGTTACGGCTCTGCCAGCCCCCCTCCCTCCCCCCGCACAGTGCTGGGGCAGTTACGGCTCTGCCAGCCCCCTCCCCCCCCCGCACAGTGCTGGGGCAGTTACGGCTCTGCCAGCCCCCCCCCCGCAAGTGCTGGGGCAGTTACTCCCAGCCCCCCCGCACAGTGCTGGGGCAGTTACGGCTCTGCCAGCCCCCCCTCCCTCCCCCCGCACAGTGCTGGGGCAGTTACGGCTCTGCCAGCCCCCTTTCCCCCATCCGAAGTGAGGGCAGTTGGGTCCCAGTTACACCATACTCCCAGTTCCATTCCCAGCTCTGCCCCACCTGCAGCTGTGGGGCCCTTGAGCCCTCCTCAAGGTCTAGGACACCACAATGGCTTCCTCGTCTCCCCTGTCCCATGCCTGGGTGGGGGCAGCTCCAGGGCTCTTTACCAGCCTCTCCAGGGAAGGAAGGGCTGCTCCTCTCCCTCCTCCCCTACCCAAAACTCCTCTGGCTCCTGAGGGAAGGGGGGAGAGTGCTGCATGCCTCCTGCAGTAGCTCTGATGGGTTGCTTTTCCAGGGAGGATGAGGAACAGAGGGGGTTTCTCCAGGGCGGGGCTGGAAATCCCTTAGGGCTGAAGCTTCTGCTGTGATTGATTTACTACAGCAAAGGTCAAAATCCCTGCAACTAGAAAGTAGGCATTTGTACCTTCTGTCCCTGCCATATCGCTGGGCCTGAGGTCCCAATGAACAGGGGGAAAGCAGCAAACTGCCTTGGCTCAAATGCAGGTGGGATCCTGAAAGCTCTAGGGCCTAGATCTGTAAAGGTATTTAGGCTCCTAACCTCCCATTGCAATCAACAGCGCATGTCCCATTGACAACTGGGCTTGTGCTCCTAAATCAATCAGTTGCTTTGGAAAAGACCACTCTGCTCTCTGGCTGTTCTAGTCACCTTACATGTTACTTGTAACAGCAAATACATTTTCAGACCAAGGAGTGATTTTAAAATTGTCCTTCTAAGCTTTAAAGCCTCCCCCAGCCTCCCACGGTAATTATAATTGTCCCAATTTCATCAGCGGGGCTACTCAGCTACTGAGATGACTTGCCCAATAGCAGTGGTGGAACCAGGGCATGAACCCAGATCACAGTCCTTCCCACAACTGGGAGCAGAACCCTGGAGTCCTGGCTTCTGCTTCTCAGCTCTAATGACTAGAGCCCACTCTGTACACCGCACAAGGCTACTACAGAGCATGAGACCACAGCCTGAGCTGGATTTAGAGCCTTAACGGAGGGACATTTCAGTGGGTAGGAGGGGACAGTATTTAATGTTCTACTTCATTTTAAAAACCAGTGTTCTTCTTTGTTTTATCCCTATCCCTTCAACCCATTTCCCACACTGTATCTTTGCTTCTCTCTACCATATGCTTTATTTCAAGCCCCTCATATCTATCTATCTGTCCCAAAACAGCTCCTCTCTCTATCCATTTATCTATCCCTATACAGCCCACTATCTATCTAATCTAATCTCAGGTGACCTCACGTCTTTGTCCTGACCTATCTATTATTTTTTACAGTATGTGTACAGTGCCATTGTTGTGAATCTAATTAGCTGTCTATCTTCCTCCCGCACATCTGTCTCGCCCCTCTTCCAGACCCCTCACCTATCCCCTCGCTTGACAGTTTGAAATCTCACAACAATTTGCATCCTCAAAGGTCCCTAAAAAGACTCTTGTTCCTTACTTTACAGATGCCACGTTCTTATTATGACAACAAACGCTGAGCAATTTAAAGTTGGAAATCCAAATCCAAAAAGCGTATTACTGATATCCATGCCTAATGACAAAAAGAAAAGGAGTACTTGTGGCACCTTAGAGACTAACCAATTTATTTGAGCATGAGCTTTCGTGAGCTAGCTCACGAAAGCTCATGCTCAAATAAATTGGTTAGTCTCTAAGGTGCCACAAGTACTCCTTTTCTTTTTGCGAATACAGACTAACACGGCTGTTACTCTGAAACATGCCTAATGACAGTGTAATCAGACCAGAATCACCTAACATGCACCGGATGCGTCTCTGACTCCAGATGGAGATGCTCAGCACGTAGTCTGCATGCAAATAATGGGAAATGAAGTATGTAGCGCATCGTAAGACATTGTTTCCCCACTGATGGCACCAGGAATACAAAGTTTGAAAGGGAGCTGTGACTTCTGAGCCAGAGACACAAGAGAAGAGCTGCTGGGGGTGCAGCTGTGTGAATGAGAGAGGCTGGTCCTCTGGGAGGAAAGCCACTGAGTTCACAGCTGGGAAGGCTGTGCCCTTTCTGAATGCTGGCAGGATCTGCAGCAGGCCCGGTCTCCTTCAGCAGCTCCCTAGAGAGATGTAGCCCAGCTGGTCTCCATTTCAGGGGAAACATCAATCACAGGCCTTTCAAGCTCCAGTGAATGCATCCGATGAATGCATCCAGAATGCATCTGAAGAAGTGCGCTGTAGCTCACAAAGCTTATGCTCAAACAAATTTTAGTCTCTAAGGTGCCACAAGTCCTCCTTTTGTTTTAGTGAGGATAACTACATCCTCCCACTTCCTGCCCCTTGACTGCCCCATCCAACCCCCCCACTCCTTGTCCCTAACTGCCCTCCCCGGGACCCCACCCCCTATCCAACCCCCCCTGACCCCCGACTGCCCCGACCCCTATCCACACCCTTCCCCCAACAGGCCCCCAACCCATCCAACCTCCCACCCCTCCACTCCTTGTCCCCTGACCGCCACCTCCCGGGATCCCCGTACCTAACTGCCTCTCCCCCACAGAACCCCACCCCGAACTTCCGCCTCATCCAACCACCCCCTCTTCCCTGACTGCCCCCCAGGACCTCCTGCCCCTTATCCAACCCCTCCTCCTCCCCCTGCCCCCTTACCATGCTGCTCAGAGTGGCAGGACAGGCTTATTGGAAAGCCTGGGAAGTGGGCGGGTGCAAACCATGCTGCCCATGTGGCGGTGTGGCTGCGGGGGAGGGGGGACAGCGGAGGAGGGGCCTGGGCTAGCCTCCCCAGCGTGGGCCACAGTTTGCCCACCTCTGTTCTCCTGGCAGCAATGCCCCTGTGCTGATTGGGCCCTGTCATAACCATACAGCCTAGGGTAGCCTAAAATTCCTCCTTACCTGTAAGGGGTTAAGAAGCTCAAATAACCTGGTTGGCACCTGACCAAAAGGACCAATGGGGAAAGAAGATACTTTCAGATCTGGGGGGCGGGGGAGACTTTTTGTGCTCTGTGTTGTGTGACTTTCAGATCTG